ACCCCGACTCGCACGTCATCCTGATTTGCTTTGCCGTCGACTCGCCCGACTCTCTCGACAACGTCCAGGAGAAGGTACGATAGCTCCAATCTCTCTGATAGAGCATCACTGACAATGCACAGTGGATCTCCGAGGTTCTGCATTTCTGCCAGGGCCTCCCTATCATCCTAGTTGGCTGCAAGAAGGATCTGCGCTTTGACCAGAAGACGATTGAGGAGCTCCACAAGACCTCCCAGAAGCCAGTGACTCCCGAACAGGTGAGTGTCTCGATCAGGTAGCACACATGACTCCTACTAATCAACTTAGGCCGAGGATGTCCGCAAGAAGATCGGTGCCCAGAAGTACCTTGAGTGCTCGGCGAAGACGAACGAGGGCGTAAGGGAGGTATTTGAACATGCTACACGGGCTGCCCTGACCACCCGGAAAGAGAAGAGCAAGAGCAAGAAATGCCTCATCTTGTAAGAGTGGGTGTGTTGCTGAACCGGTGACCGCCGCATCCAACCTCAAGAACAGCGGCGGTCGTGTTCATGGCGGTGTTATCGAAGGCACACGTGAAGCAGGTTTGGTTGAGGGCAAACCGACCTACTCCAGGCGAGTCTGAGCCTTTCCCACGGCACCTGCAAGGCGTTTCTGCGCTGGATTTTTGAGCACATCATCTTGGGGCAGTTCATGAGAGGGGTTTTTCTTCGGGCGGGACCAAAGATTGAAACACATAACGGATTCTTCAATAATGGTAGGACTTGTAGTGTGCTTGCCTGCTCTTCTTATTAACTCACACTTCCTCTCATGGCCCCGTCTGGATATCTTCCTCATATGTGAGCGGACCTCTACATGTTTGGCTGTTCATTCTCTCTTATCTTGTTTCTCACTTTCTCTCGACGGCTGCTGAATGGCACTTGATCGCTTGGTCTGGTGGTTCAGCACATCTAGGCTCGGTGTAATACTCTTTTATCCTCGTACCTAGCTACTTGCCTGCTACCCCTCGTTGGCGTCAATGGAACTTTACAACCTACCTGTGCACACATTTAAGTGACGCTGCCATCACTATCTCCGATATTGACGCATGCAAGTGCTCGTCATAATTCCATGGCCTCATATTCAGAAGCAGGCTATTTGCATGACCATCTCATTCCCTTCCCCATCTCTATTCGATGTCCAAGGGCTCTAAACTCGACCACCCTTCGCACCCACAGCATCTTTTCTCCCAACCAATCCATCAACGTGAGGTACGACGCGAGCTCGCATACTGAGCCAAGCCCCAAATTTGTAATTTTTGTTCCCTGCTTCTGATGAATCCTGCTGGCTCCAGCTGCTCCATCCATCCAACTCCTGCTTGCAGCGCTGCTTACGCTGCACTGCTGGCTGCAGCTTACTGCGTCCCGTGCGACGCGCGTGCTTGCCGCTGTTCCCCGCCCCACGACGACCCTGCATACGCGAATCCCGGATTCGTATAAATGTGCTGTATCGATCGGGGATCCCATCCGTGCGGGTTTTTTATGACTTGAGGTGGGCGTGGAGGGCTGGGTGTTGATTTATAGGGAGGGGTAGAGGTGGCACGCGGTTGAAAGAATTCCCCGCACACATAATAGTCTCTCGCCAAAGACTACCTACAATAACTAACACGTTACTTACTCTCCCTTAACTTTCACAAAATATAAACTTGTAAAGCTAGGCCTGGTCTTCTACGTAGGAGTAGGAAGAGGTTAAAAGGGCTTCGTTGGGTGTAGGCAAATATGAGCTGAAGTGTTTTGGTATGCGGCGAATTGTTCTAATCGCGTGGGTGGGTGGGTAAACAAGGGGGGGGGGGGGGGGGGGGGTGGAAAGCTTGGAAGGATGGAGTGAGTGGGTGGTGTGAGTGAGTCGGTGGTATTGAGAAAGAGGGAAGAGCAGTGAAAGGTTAGAGGTGGTGAAGGGTTTTGGGAAGTTGGAACTTGGGGGAAGATGTTATTGTTCTTAGATAGTGGAATGGAATGGAATGGCATGGCGCGAGGAGATGCTAAGTTGTGATTGCATTATACAATTGAGTCTTTCACATTTCATTTATTAAGGGCTCAAACTCGACTCAACTCGACTCGAACTCTAATTATGCTTCCAACCCGATTGCGGAAGACACAAAGACATTATATATACCCCCAAGCGAGCCAAAGCTCGATTCCCGTCTCATACCTCCTCTATCGGCGAGATCTCGATGGAAAATGAAAGGAAAAATCAGTCCCTAACGCCGTCGCTATGGTTCTCACTATGCCCTTACCATGCTCTTACCCCATCTCGTTTCCATTCCAAACCATGATTAACACACTCCATCCATGCATGCAATGACGTGACGCTAAACAAAGACAGCAAAAAAGCCGAAAGCCACAGAGAGCGCAAACGCAGATGCGGGAACAGCTGCAACCGCTCCCGAGCCCGCAGGCGTGGGTCCAGAAGAACCCGTGCCTGAAGTTGCAGCTGGCGAGTTGCCGGTCGTGGAACCCGAGCCTGGACCTGGAGGGGATGAAGGGTTAGTCAATGGCGCGGAAGCAGAGGAAGGTAAGAAGGGAGAGGGGGAGTATATAACGGTGGGCAATGCAGCTGCAGACGCACTCGAACTCGTGGTACGCGTCGTTACGGGGAACGGAGTAGACGAGGAGTCTGTTACTAGGATCAAAGTCGACGTACCTGAAGAACCGGACGGTGCCGACGGGCTGGCAGAAGACGAACTCGTCGCACTCTGTTGTGTAGCATTCCCACTCTTGACCCCGAAGCCCACCCTCCCCTTTTCGTAATCAAAGGCAGTATACACATTCTTCAAAAACGCATCGCCTACCAGCCACTGGTTCTCCTGGAACGTCTTCCTTCCAATAATCTTACTATTGCATAACCCGCTGTCTTCGTTCTTGTCTCCGACCCAGTCGGTTGCTGACATGTTGTACGTCACCGAGCCGAACTTCAGCGTGATGGGGGATGTAGTGCTGCAGGGCACTTGGAAGTTTTCGCCGTCTTGGGATGAGCCTTCAATGAGTTTGTGGAGAGCGCTGGCTTCGGTGGGCGGCATGTAGAAGAACGAAGTCCCCGTGTCGATGATGCCCGTCTTGTCTCCAGCCTTCAGTCCGATAGTTTTACCCCCGAAGCCAATATCAGCAACAGGCACTTCCCAGAACCCGCGGTCGCTCTTCACGGAGTCGATCCAGTTCAGGTCGCCAGAGAAGCGCTCTTTGTTCACTTCTCCGAGATTCAACTCGCCGTCGTTCTTCCCGTCTTTTGCGCGCCCGAGATGCAGGCCGTATAGTTTGGAGGAAATGAGCTTGGCGTTTGCGAGCGCTTCGACGATTAGAGGGGTGCCGTTGCCGGACGTAGATGTACCGCGTGACAGGCCCATTATGCCGTCCATGGGATATTGGAGGAAATCAGAGGAGACATTGGTCGCGATGCCGAAGGTGAGGGAGGTGGAGAGCGAGGTCCCTATGTGGATCGTATCGGTCGCTGTGGTGCCGGACACGAATCCGGTGCCGTAGGTTATGGAGAAGGTTTTGGGATCGGTCTTTTATTTTCATGTCAGCACTCGCTCCAGAGTATGAATTGGTGCGTAAAGTGACACTATGTATGGGGAGGAAGGAGGAGTCTACCTTGATTGTCTTAGAATCACTCTTCCCAAACAGGTTGTGCTTCCCACACGCCTCGGTCGAGCAGTCCTCGCTCATCACCCATGTATTGCTCGCCGCCGAATCGAGCAGCAATTTATACTCTTCCTTGCTATCCCCAATCGTCACCGCAGCCATGTACGATATATCACCCTTGTTCTGGTCAACAGCCACACTGTTCTTCTGCTTCGGGTCGTTGCCATTGATCATGTCGTATTTATTGTCGCGGGTGCTGAGGGAACCGCGGTGGAGGTGGAGCGGGATGGTGATGGATCGGAGGGATGCGGATCGTGGTTGAGGATGAAGGTTTGAGAGAGGGTGTACGTTTCGACGTGAGCTTGACGAGGACGAGGACGTGGTGGGATGGGATGAGGTTCGTTCGTAAGGGTAGAAAGCTGAAGCTGTGGAGAGGAGGGCGTAGCCTATAGCTAGGTTTCCAATTGGGATATACATCGTGTTCGAAGTCGTTCCTAAACTTCCTAAAAGATTACGTCCGTACTACAAGAAGTTCCGGTCTTTCGTATTGACTACACGGTCGTAGTTATACAAGGTGACAGTACTCTGAGAACAGGCCAGGTACAAATCAATCAAGACGACCCGGTCGCTGCGCGTTTTCTTGGAGAAATTCGTGATTCCCGGGAGCCTTCTACTCGGTAAAGCGAACAAGATTCGGGTAGTAGAAACAAAGCAGAAAGAACAAAGCAGAGAAGCAGAGAGGCCAAAGACGGCGGAAGTTGAACCTGGGGAACTTGCAAAGATCGACAGTAAGGGTAATATACCCAAGAGCATCCAAGACGTGCCTCCGACGTCAGGGTGAAGCTCAAAAGTCCGGTGTCCGTTCTCTAGATCAATTAATGCAAACGGGGGATATCGTCACACGCTCGTCAAACAAGGAGAAAGCATAACGACAATTGAAAAGTATTCGAAGAGAATATATGGATTATTGGATTGGGACGGCGCCGGGCGGCGCGGGGCCAATTCAATGTGGCATGCATTGAGCCGCAGTAATCCTCGAGGCGCGCAGGCTTGGCGACGAAGGGTGTTGAGCGCCCGTCAGTGCCAGGGAGAGCTAGTGGGGCGCAGGTACCCCTGAAAGACAACCAAAAAGATCGCCAAGAGAGTGTTTGAAACACCTGCCGTTTTTAGCATGTTGACTTGCATCTGGCGCTTAGATAGGTTTTGGCCTTCATGTGTCTACCACCGGTGGTAGGAGCTGCAAAAAGATGATTCACATGAAGGCGGTTTTTGAAGCCTCTTTCGGTACAATTTCCCCCGCTATGACTGTCAAACGAAGGAGTTACTGAGGCACACAACATGGGACCTCACAAAAAATATCATGCGCCAAAAACTGCAAAAGGACAACAAAAAAGAACAACTCTCAGGGCCGAACCGGGATCGAACCGGTGACCTCGGGAATCCAGAAACGGAAACTGCAGTCCTACGCTCTACCACTGAGCTATCGACCCATGATGAAGTTGTAACTTCATGCAAATTTGCGGCTTGTGATAATATATATACGTATTTAGTTAGTGTAGAGAAAGAACACGTTCTTGAATTTACCCGAGGAGTCACAATTCCTTGGGGCGAGCTTACGCAAAGCTAGCTCTCACTAAACTAGCCGAATGATGCATGAGGTGGAATGCTGAATGGTCCGGCTCTCCAACACTTCCACGTTCGGCTTAAAACAAGCCTACAGGTTACATTGCAAAAGCGCTGTACATATGTAAGGCAGTCCTTGTATCTTTATTGAAATAAATTGCGGCATACATTCAATAGGGGAGCGGTTATCATATAATTATTCTCTTGACTGGGGACTAGCGTGCGTTTACTACCACCGGTGGTAGTTCAAATAACAGAGCGTGAATCGAACAAGAGATGCAAGCCTTGTGATGAAGTATTACAATATTTTATTCTCGTTGCTATGGTCCCAGAGCAAATGGTGTCATACTCCGATCATCTATTCAAACTCAAAAGTCCTTCAACATACCTCCTAGCATCAATCCCAATCCCCTCAGCCAAACCTTTCGGTCCCCACCCCGCCGCCGCACCGCCCGTCTTCCGATCTCTCGAAGGCACCCACATCGCACTGCCAAACCTACTCCCAGAACCCTTCGTCGCAGATACCGTCCCATCTCTCGCTCTCCTCACGAGAAAAGCTTCACGCAGTTGATCGGTATCGAAATCCTCGGTTTCTACTTCCGGGTCCTGGTCTTTGTTGGGCTCGACTTGTGAAGGCGGGAGGCGCATCCAGACGACCCACCAGCCGCGCGAGGTCTTGCATGTTCGTTCGATTTCGGATAGGTTGCGGCGCGTACTGCTTATTGTGGCGATGATTTGGGAGTGTACGTTTAGGGCTTCAAGGCGGCTCCAGCCAGATGTGGAGAGGGCGGTGCTGCTGAGACCTTCTGCTATGAGGGTGCCGGGTTCGGCAATATTGGGGAGACTGGAATGAACGGTGAGTGTGCGTGGGTCATAGACCAGATCGAATATAGGCTGTATGTTGGCTTCTGCGCCGTCGGTTGATGAGGTCGTTGTGTAGGGATGGAATGCTGCTGATAGGCGCGCGGCAACTTGGAAGGGGGAGGTACTGCTGCTGAGCGGGCGGTGTAAGGGTGAGAAATAGACGTGTAGGTCACGATAGAAGCTGGCTATGCTGAGCGCTCCGGTGCCATGCTTGAAGAGGAATGTGTATATGAAGGGGCGATGCTGGAGGAGTGAGCATAGCTTCAGCGCTTCTGTTGGTAAGACTTACCACATATACAACAGGCTGTAATCTAGTCAGCTTGTGTTGACTCTGTTGTCCAGCCGATGATAAGCTAGCGTTGTTTTCGAAAGAAGCAGGTTTATCGTCGTATAGACCTGGTGTGCTTGGGAGTGTTTGAGCTTGAGGATTAAGCTCAACGTGTATGGTCCGGAGAACAGTGCGATTGTTCCAGTCGCCCTCTTCATTCTCGTCATCTGCATAGTTTTCTTCCAGGTCACCCTTCAGCCCAATGACAAAATATCCCGAGTTTTCCAGCTGTATTTGAGACTTCCGCTTTTCAGCCGTGTGGTCGATTTCTGGAAGCGGATCAACATGCCGCATTGGCGCTTCTGGTGATTCCTTTGCTGCGCCATTGTCTTGCACTAGTTGATTTTCGTCACCCTTCTTGCCGCCCCACGCCGTACCATAGCCGAGAGTCAAGTACTTCATCCAGGTCTCAGTATCGCCCAATGGCCCAAGCAGTGGCTCAGCGGTGTCAGCGTGTCCACTGCGCGATGCATCAACCGCAGCAGAAGCCTTGTTGAGGGATGCTTCTATGTTCTTGACGACGGGAGGTGGTATTCGTGGAGGATTACTCCCGCCATTGATAGATTTTTGTTCCCGCTTGTGAGGAACTCGAGCCTGGAGAGCGTCTGCGGATGGCGAAGCAGACTTCACGCTCTTGCGCCTTCGGCGTCTTCGATTGGCCGTAGGATTGTCCCGCACACCGTAAGCGTGGTCTCCATAGCAGTAGATAGACTCTATCCAATGCGATAGATCACGGAGCGATTTTCGACTGACGGTGCCGACGCCGGAGAAGACAGTCCCGTCGGCAGGGCCAGGGTAATGTCCACTTCCGACCCAAGGCTCCGAATTGGATGTGTCGGCTGGCTCTTGCGAGATTGCCGACTTGTCTGGGTCTTGTAGAGGTGAAGGTTCGCCAAATCTGGACACCATGAGGTCTACCAGACCATCAGTCTTGTGTACGTAGTCCTCGAGCACAAGGCGCTCCCCGCTTCCCCATTCTTCTTCGCCCACGCCCATGCCCAGTTCGCCACCAGCTGCCAGCTTCATGCCGCCGTAAATGTCCACGGCAGGACTTCCGTGAAGGAGCACATCCCAAGTGCTAGCGAAGCGTGACCAATATCTGTCCAGCGTGTTCATAAACCTGTCCCTGGGAAGTTTTTGGTATAGGTATGCGAGGCTCTCTCCGTGATGGAGGAGGAAGACATTGTGGGCGCGAACCAGCTGCTGGAGCAGGAGGGCGGGCGGACTGACCTCGCGGGAGGAGTACTCGATGGCTGGCTCGGTTGTGGAGGTGTTGCTCTCCGACGAGCTGTGATGGGCAGGCAGCTGCGTCAGGTCGATGGAGGCGAGAATCCACCATCCCGGCTCGAGCTCCTGTATAACTATTCGCGACTTCTCCGTTTCCACCGAATCCACGGCGGCGCCATTGGAGAAGCCCCGCGCAAAGCCCACCATGCCCTGGGCGAGCCCGACCTGGCGCAGCTTCTCATTCTCCCGCTCCCGCAGCTCCTTCTCGGCCTGGGCATCTTTGCCGCGAATCTTGGACCGCTCTCGGGCGGCTTTCGCGTAGTAAAAGACAATCTGGTTGTGGAAGTTCGACTCCGAAGTGCCTAGTGACGGGTTGTAGATGGCGAGGAAAGAGAGTTGTGCAGGGATGACTTTGGGGATGGCCGTCGAAGACATTCGTGCTTTGAGCTGCGGGATGTGCCGGGCGTGCGGTTGTGGAGGGCGGGTGAAGATGTAGAAGTGCGAATGCGAATGCGAATGCGAATGCGATGGCGATGGTGATGGCGATGGCGTCACTGGCGGAGGACCCACGGAGGTGTGAGCGGGGGACAAATGCGGCGTTCTGTCCCCTGCGCGCAGCACGATGTCTTCAGAAGAGACTGAGAAGGGCCCAGCCCGATCTCGCAGGCCGCCGTGGGCTACCTAGGAGGCACAGGCATAGATACTGAGAAAGCCTGGTCCTGAGATTGAAAGCTCCACTTGGTTCCCACGCGCTTGGATCGTGCCAAGCCAGATCGCCATGCACCTTTAAGCTTTGAACCATGGTTTTCGACATCTGCATCCTTTGTGATCAAGTGCAAGAATGATTTGGCGACTTCCAGTCCCCGTCCGCTCCTTTTACGTCTCGAATTGCCGCCGCTATAGCACTGTCAGATCGTCTGATCCATTGCGCATCCTGTTCTGCGGCTCCGACGAGTTCAGTATCGCCTCGTTGCGCAAGCTAGTCCAGGCAAAGCAAGATGTGCCGGATCTCATAAAGTCCATTGATGTAGTGCACCGGCCTGGAAAACCTACAGGCCGCAAGCTCTTGAAGATCAAAGAAGGTGCGATTGAACTGTTCTTCACTCTGTCCCCTTCTGACATCCATTGGCAGTTCCCATCAAGCAAGTCACAGAAGAGCTGCAGCTCGACACGCACGTAATCGACACCTTCACCGGCTGGACGCCCCCGATCTCATACAACCTCATCATCGCCGTGTCGTTCGGCCTCTTCGTCCCTCCGCGCATCCTAAACCTCGCAAAATACCAAGGCCTCAATGTCCACCCTTCACTTCTCCCCGACCTCAAGGGCGCGGCACCCTTGCACCACACCATACTGAAGAAACGCCCATTCGCCGGCGTCACCGTCCAAACGCTGCACCCCGAAAAGATCGATAGCGGCACAATCCTCGCCCAGTCCCCCAGCCCGGGTATTGATTACAGCGATACACCAACTATCACAGAGTTGACGAACCGTCTCGGCAACGTAGGAGGCGATATGCTTGTAGACGTTCTCAAAAGCGGAGCCTTTGTACCTCCAGTAAGAGACGTGGGATGGTACGCCGAGTCCGGAGGGCCAGTGGAGCACGCCGGTAAATTGGACAAAAGCTCTTGGTTCGTTGACTTTTCTAAAACCACACTGGACGAGATCGAAACCATGAAGAGAGCCGGCGGCCTCCCCTGGTGCGCAATGCCCAGCAGTGAGCGCCTTGTGCTGAATAAGTGCTGGCCCTCCACCCTAAAGACCACCGACAGAGTGCCACCGGGCATCTGGTGCCCGGATCTCAAGCACCCCTTCTGTAATCATAAAGCTATACCGAAACGTTGGCTTATGGCCAAGACCGCCGAGGGAGGTATCCTGAGGATACAAACGAGTACGTCGGAAGGATCGAAGACTAACGGCGGGTACGACAGATTTAGGAAGCTTTTTGGACCACAACATGTCTATGTTTGGGAGAAGGATGAACCAGAGCCCAGGTATGGGAAGAAGCAAATACCGCCAAAATAAAACCCACAATCTTGTTAATCAACTGCATTCCAACCTTTTGTGCTATTCATACCTGTCCCATCCGCTGGCTAGACCCCATCAAGCTACCAAATAATAGCCAGTGCATGCCTCTATGTGCGTAGATTTCTCAAAATACTATCACATCAACACTAAGCCGGAACAACTTTAAGGTATAATACCTAAGTGGCAGCTCCCTATCTCTCCAGTTGTGCAAAGATAACGTTATTATGCAACGAAAATAGAGGGATCTACCACAGGCGTGATCGAACTTCGTCCAGCCACCCTGTAGCAGGGCACTAAAAGCTTCCTGAGTTGATACCAAAACCAGCGCTGCCGCTGAATCTGCTCGAACCACCGACACATTTTCTTCGAAAGAATTGCTGCGAGCTACTCGACTATGTCTTTGCAGATGCACACGATGCG